CCACGTACAATAACACTTCCTTGAGAATATCCAAGCATATTAAAACCTTGACGAAGATTTTCATCATCAAGAACAGTTTTACAAAAATGTTCGACTTGTTTTTCTACTGGCCATAAAAATGAATCATCTTTGCCATTACCAATTTCAATCGATACAACATAAATACCAGGAAATGATGTTCGAATCCAACCAGCTAATTCATCCATATCATCAGCTGCTGATATAATACCATGCATAAGAACAACTGGTCGATAAACTGAACTTGAAAGAACAGTTGTAATAAATAAAAGAAAAACAAGACGAATCATTTTTTTTAATTGTTGATCTAGTTGTTTTTTTTTATTCAACTACTTAAAACAATAGCTCTTTTATAGTTTTTTCTTTACTTAAAAAAGATAACCAACAACAAAACATCTGTTAATTCCCATACATTTTAGTTCACGCATTTAGTCCATAGAATAATATTATTTGGTCTTTTATTGAAAAACATTTTAAAGATAAAAACATATTAGAAATTTTTAGAAGCTGAATTGTTGACACTAAAATAACCTATATTGTCAAGTATTCATTTCTAATCAACAAATCTATTTTAGTTACTAATAATAACCTTGTAAGTATGATGGATGAAAAACAAAGAGAAAAAAGCTTTATCACTTTAAATTTATAGTTAAGTTTACAAAATGATATAATGAATACTTTAAAGCGTAAAAATTCAGCTGATTATTAAATTCTGTTTTAAAAAACTACACGTAAGATCAAAAGATGTCTTTTATGATTCAACAAACACGAACGCTTCACTTTCAAATATATATATGTTCGTTTTTTTCAAAAGTCAATTAACTCACAAAATATGCATTGGACTTTATCAAGATATCGTGTATATATACGTAACATTATTCGATTATTTTATCAATGGAAATGCAGGTCAAAATGTCCTCTTTACTCTTTCTCTTCAAGTTAAATCTGTTACACAAGTAAAAAAAATGATAGGAATAGATTTTACACAACTGTTTTCTACACTGAGCACCTCGTAGAGCGAGACACTCTAGTCTATGTTATTATTTCATAAAATTCTAAATGAGAACAAAGAGTTTTTCTAATTTGAAAATATTTCCTATTCAATAGAAATATTACAACCATCATCAATAATTTTCTTCTTCAATAATACAATACAGTCTACGAACAATTTTCAAAATAGGATATTATATATAGAAATATAAAAAATTAAATTCATTTAGGATCATTTGACTTTGTATTTTTCATAATTAAAGATGATAGTTTAAATGAAAATATAACGATAATTGCCTTAAAAAAGACAAAAATTTATAAAACATAATTATAAAAGTAAAACTAGAATCATTACATTAAGAATAACATTTGTTAAACATGTAACTATTGGAATTACAGTAAAAGGTATTTGAATAATATGTTTAGATGGTTGAGAAGTTATTATTATGATTTCAACTGTAATGAATACGGCAATAATACACATTACAATTATATTAATAATACCTAGCCATGCAAACTATTAAAAAAATATCAAAATTACGGTTTAAAATCACTACATAATGTTTAGTTCTGACCACAAATAAACCTGTCGGATAGTATCTTTGAGTAACAAGCATTCCTGAAGCAAAAAATAAAATCCAACACAGAATAATAATTGGTTCATAAGTATTTGTTCGATAATTAATTGATAATGAATAAATAACTGTCATAAAACTAATTATATAAATACCCTACAAATCAGAAAATCTTTAACTATTTACATTCATAGATTGAACTTGCAAGTGTAATAGACATTAAAAACATAAGAATTTATTGTGTTAGTCTAAGTTCAGGTATTCGATTATATGAAATCGATTCAACATCAAGAATAGGATCCCTAATTCTAATGATCATATTGAATAATATTTCTTCGTTAAATCGTATTTACATATATAATGTACAATATGTCGTCTATCTTATCCTATTTGAGATGTTGCTATATATATGTTAATGATGATAGAATAGAACAAAAATAGAACGACAATGTTTGTTCCATACAGATACGACTAATAATATGATGTAGCTATAGAGACAGAATATATAAATGACAAGTTTTGAGATATAATTAACTGATGACGAGAAAAATTGAGGACTCAATATAGCAAAAATAGGAAAGTAATCATTAACGAAGAACTTGTATCAATATTTTTTTTTTGTAAATTATGAATATTCTTGTATTAATCTAATTATATTACAATCAAAACAAAGTTATCTTTCTTATTTCATTTTTTAACAACATTACAGTAATCTTCCTAATATGAGTATTATTGAAATCCAGCAAAAAATGCTAATTATTGAGAACTTTTCAGTTTCTTATTCGCAACGTATGAGTATTCAGTTGCAATGACTTATCGATTGCACAAGGTGACCGTTTTCAACCTTTTTAACAATTAATTTTAATTAAAGGCAACTCAACATGTGTAGACATGATTTGATTCTACTAGCCATTAGCACAGTAATGATGAGAAATTACACCAGGCACTGTTGATGTTGTCTAAAGTTATTTTATTTTACTTTATTTTAAATATCTGCAGCTACTCCATTCTCGTTTTTATACGCATTATATTATTATTTATCATAATGCAATACCCATAACCTCATTTTTTTTGTTCTACACGTGAATAATAGAATGTATGTTACTTACATTACAGACGTTGTTATTGCTCATGGCACCAGAAATAAGTTCTTGCTCCTTGTTATAAAAAGGTGTTCACACACTTTTATTTCAAATAACTGCGATTTCTACAATGATACAACTCGAGTGTCTGCTGAGTTTTCAGTTAAAAATGAACTCGAATATTCTGCAAGAGTACACAGTTACTTGATTCCAAAGTAAGAAGCTAATAGACTGAACAGTAATTCGAAGTAATACCGAAACTGATACAAATCTATTGAAAATTTCATCTATCGAAATTAAATACTCCAAAAAATCAATATAAAAAGAAACATGAATAATAACAATGTGAAACAAAAACATTCGAATATGGATTGAAAAAAATATGAATACTATTAACGATATTTATACCTTAGACTATTTCATTTGGTGTTCTATAGGAGATGTGAAAGAAAAAATATTGAAAATTTCAACTAGCAAGGCATTCTTTAATCTTGCCACAGTACTAATATTGTATAATAGATTATATACGAATCAAGAGATAAAAAGAGGAAAAAAGTAATCGTGTCATTTTTTCTATTTAGCAATTGTAAATGACAAAGCATCTAGATATTACATTACATTTAAGACTCTCTTAATATCATTCATCAAGATTATTTATAAGACGTAGAATAGAAATCATTTTGTTTTGGATTGCTTTCTTACATCTAAATCTGCAGTGAATTGATTTACATATAATGAAAATGTTTCAGCGCTCCGTCAAGAAATTTTTATAAAAGATCAAATATTCGAATAATTAAGTTATACTCAATGATTTAAACGACTATGAAATGCTATATAAAACATAAGTCAGCATGAGCTGAAGACATCACTTGTTTCAATATTTTTCTAATTTCAACACTTTCTCCTTTGATCATTCTATGATCGATCTTTCATTTCTTTAATAGTTGTTTGGTAGAAAATTATTCTGTTAAAATTTTAAACGAATCGAATTCTGCACATTTGAAATTAAAAAAAAAAAGAAAATTTGAGAGTTATAGCAATTTTAAATGATTTACTAGAGTAAACGAAGTTCTAAGGTATATGATCAAATAAATCATAGTAAAACTTACTCATATGTGATTATTACCATGAATTAATAAGAGTAAATGTTAAAACAAATTTGTCAGATTTTGAAATGTATAAAAATAATGTCAGTCTAAGTATATCTATCAGTAACTGTTAATCCAAAAATAAAATATATTCGAAAAACAAAATTATTTATAGTTAAAGACTAATATTATTTCAGTTGATAGTATCATTTGTTATCGATTTATAGATGAGTGGCAATAAAGAAAAACACTTATTTTATGGAAAGAATCTTAGGTATCAAATCGACTATCACTAAAATGTTTCGTAAATGTAATAAACAACAGATTTATTTGGTTTTTCATTGTACCTACTTACGTATGGCTGGAAACTTCAAGTTTGGTATTGTATATTAACCATAGACAGTAAGTCAAGACCATTATTCAAATTAATTCTTTGAACTTATCAATTCTGTGTTAATTTGAATAACAAGAGTCTTGCATACTTTATTCATTTTTGTTGATTGTTAGCGTCATCAGATCAAACTCATCCATCTCCGATTGTTTCTCATTAGTGCTTTTCCCAAAATGCAAAATAAAATTTGATCTTTACTTATGCATTTGAAGAAATAAAAGCAAAAATAAATAGCGTAAGTAAGCACATTTTAACAATAAAAGAAAAAGAATCTTTGGATGAAGATGTTTCTATTAGTTTAAAAACTGTCTTTCTTGTATAAGTCAATGTTTTGCGATAGGATAAAGTGAATAAAATCGTTTTCTGATGATTTAAACTTAATTGACTTGAAATGAAATGTGCAAATCAATTTTATTTTGATAAAATAAATTTGCATCAAGAGTAATTTATCATAAAAAATTGATAAAGTATAGAAAAGATCAGTTTAACTGTGTCTATATGTATTTCAAAATAAAGCGTATATATATTAATGTAAACGTTTCTCGATTATATTATTTTGTAAAGCTTTTCTGTATCATAATATAATAAAGATGACAAATATAATCAATAATCAATCGTGTGAGCAAATATTGATGAAACAATAATCTGTTATTAGTGTTGAAATATCAGTTTTATCCAGCGTGAGAGCCGAACGAACGGCGCAATCCCGAACTTTGTAGCTCTTCTATTCTGTACTATGTGTCTGTACTCTCAAAAATAAATGTTCACCCTCCTGGAGTTTTTATGTGCCTTTCTGGATGAGAAAATCTAAGTTGAACATTGTGGTATATGGTGAAGGTATTGAGAAGAAATAACATAGATAGTTATGTTGAGCCCTTATTTATTACTTTTTCAGTTATACATTATTTACACATCAAAAACGAAATAAAAATATGTCCATATAGATGTGACTAATATAGTAAATCATAGATATCTGTTGCGCAACAATATGCAAAAAAAGTGAGATCAGCAATTAGTTCATGTTTTTATTTAAACTTTTTAGATTTAATTGTTTCATGATACAAAAGTATATGAAGTAATAATAGAAAAAAGTTTTTTACTTTTTATTTTTTATTTTTGTTGAGTTTTCGGTCCTATGTATACAACCATCAACAAATGATTCAAATCAAGTAAATGATGCTGATCGTGGTGCAAATCGTCGTATTGCTATAGTTATTATTATTCGTTATTTACTATTAAAAGATTCATGTTTACTCCCATATGTAGATTTTACTAAAAAACCACTACCGAAAATGGTATCATATTTTCTCTATTTAGAGTGTCAACTATTATTATATCAAGAAATGGTACAAATCAAATTTATGATGCTGATGATGGTACAGGTCATAATATTATTATTGTTATGATTTTTGTTGGCGCTGCTAACTCTGATTAATCATTTCTCATACATAATATTATATCTTTTGATGATGATCGTATACATAGGACCGAAAATTCAACAAAAATTAAGATAAAAAACAAAAAAACTTTTTTCTATTATTATTTCATGTACTTTTGTATTATGAAAAAACTAAAACTAAAAGTTTTTAAATAAAAACATGAATCAATTGTTGATCTCATTTTAATTTTACATATTGTTGCTCAACATACATCTATGATTTACTATATGCAAAGAAATATATGTTTATTCGCATGGTTATGCGACTAATAGTTGTTTATAAATCTTCGTAATTTTGTAATCATGATTTGGTTATGTGAGGAAGAAATAGGCCTTTTTTTTGTTATGTATTGCATCATTACAATATATTTTCAGCATACTATAATGTTGACCAGTCAACATTCTTTATAATTAGTCACGTTTCTTCTCCCTATAAAAGAGCATGGAATGATGTTATTCGGCAGAACATATGAATCCAAAACCAAACGAAATAATGAAAAAAAAAAAGTATGTTACAAGAAATCTTTTCTCTTGTTTTTTTTTAATCCATAAATCTTAATAGATGAAAAACAAGGGGTATACAAAGTCGGCACCACTAATAAAGCTGTGTATAAAAGTTTAATTGAACTAAAAGACACATTACCGAAAGGTAAATTCAATTATATTATAAATTTTTTATCAACAACACCTTTTAAACCGATACCAAAAAAATATTTTGTAATGCAAGAGTATACCACGTGGGAGTTTCGAGTGACTAAATCGAAGCGTCTGTATATTTTATTGGATGAATATAAAATGTTAGTTTATATTTACGGTGCCGGTAATCATCCAAAGAAGGAAGTACCATCTCCACCAAAGCTTAATGAAATTGATTGGTCAAAATTTCAAGAAGTTTAATCCATCTGGTAGTTTCAATTTCAATCGTTTAAGGTTAGTGATCGGTCCAAACTGTAAGAGATTCTAATTGTTCTTTTTTTTAGCTTGTATTATATAATTCTTTGTATTTCAATTCCTGCCAGCTGTCTACTACGACAGCCCCTCGCTACGTAGGCAATTGATTCAGTTAATAAAGATTTATGTGTTCTCCGGGGGTGTATCCGTGTCGATATGAGTAGTGTAGATATTAATGCCTGCCA